TTCCTTGACGTGGGCAGCCAGGCTGGGCTTTACCGGCATGCGAGCCAAGCAGTTGCACAGAGCCCCCAGCTTGGTTTAATGCTTTGTGGGCTTATTATTAAAGTTCTTCATGATTTTTTGAACAAGGGTTCCACATTTTCATTTGCACCAGGCCCTGCAAACTATGTAGCTGGTCCCGTAGGGAGGAGACCAACCTTTCCTCAAGTGCCTGATAGGACCCTTCATATGAGCCCTGGTCAGGTGTCTCTATAAACCAACACAGTGGAAGGAAACCAGCATTTCCTCAGGCCCTGTGCCAGGTGCTCATAAACACACTGCGCCATCAATCCCTATTTTACCCCGAGGGAGAATAGAGGCTTTTCCAGCTCCCTTGCCCACAGCCACACAATGGGTAAATGGCGGGGTCTGACCTGACCAGGTGTGCCTGATGCCTACGGCTGTGCCCTCTGACCCTTTCACCATACTAAATAAACTTAACATTCATCCAGGAGTTACATAGATCAATGCGGTGGAAAGGGCTGATTCTCCCATAATATAATAAAATATGCTTTGTATATCTTTTAAGAGCAATTAATTAAAGAAAATCCCCACAGGGGAAAAACCTACCACATAATTTCTGAAGGGATTTCTCCGAGTAGGTCTCCCGGTCACATCCCTTCCCGATGTAATTGGTCTGCAGCTCCGTGGTGATCTGGATGGAGGACACGGCCCCATCGCACGTCTCCAGGTGGATGCCGGGGAACAGGGGCACACTCCCCGAGCCGGGCTGGTACTCGATCCGCTTGGTCCAGTCTGAAGAACCAAGGAAAGGATTCAGGTAGATCAGGTGCAGCCAGTTCTGCGATGACACTTGTTTCGAATATGTGAATTTGTTCCAACACAACTGATAGATGAGGGAATCACTTGAGGGCCACAGGAATTTCACATTTGTTTATGCAAAACTGCCTCCCCGAGAAATACTAGGTGAATGCAGGGAGCTGCGCCCAGCTGAAGTGAGCCATTAGGGATGCACAGCATGTGCACACGTACACATCTCAAACATCTGCCAGCTACCCGGCTCACCTTGTGTTAGGAGCCTGTGGTGACAGCTTTCCACCCCACTCAGACCACCAGTCTTCCACCTGGTCACAGTGACACACAAGCCACAACCCTTCCCACGTCCGCTTCCACGAGCAAAGACCAGGCTTTTCAAGGTGAAGTGCCATATTTATTGTAGCTCCTATATGTTTCTTCGCCGTTTAACCATGTAAAACTGTGCTGATGTTTTTTCCTTTCACTCTTTTTTATGTGTCACCTGTGCTCCTCGCCCCACTTTTCCCATTTTGGCTAGTGTGGTGATTTTTAGGAATGCACATGTCTTGTTATAAAACAGAACACAGAATGGTGGTTTAAGGATTATATGAGATCACGAGGCAGGGTGCAAGGGTTCTTTCCCAAACATTCAGGACTGTGGCCCACTTATGCAAGGCCAATGGTCCTCACTGTTTTTTAACAGAAAAATAATTTGGGGACAAGAAAGCACTGGAGAGGAATAAAATTACAATTAAAATGGGGCCTCAGCGTGAACCCTACAGCTCCAGTTCTTGAGGCTCCTGCTTCTTCTAGCCAGAGGTGCCTCACAGCACCTCCTTCTGGAAGCCTCTTCTGTTGTAGAAGCCCAAGACTTCCTTGGTATCTATTCCCTTGATTCTGCCGGCACTGCAGGCATTTCTTTCTCATCTAGATATTTTGGTGGTTATCTTTGATGAGAAATTCTACTTGAAATCTTTTTTTAGAAGAGGTGCAAATAAAGAAACAAATAAATAATGAAGGAAAGTCAGTGGAGGCAGCCTTAGCAGAGTTTTCATTCCTCTAGTCACCCTGTGGCTAGAGGAGCAAGGCCCTCCCTGGGGAGAAATCAGGCACAAAAAGAGTTTTTAGGAACATCACATCTGCCACTTGCTTTGGTGACCTCATGAGGTTTGCTTTTGAGGGTTTATGAGGAGCAGGCAAAATTGCAAACATACTGTAAAAGAAATCGATGAAGCTTTCTGAGTGTAGTGTCCTTAAGAGAGTGGGAAACTCATACAGACATCGTTCATTTTCCAAGAAGGACTTGGGGTGAGGATTAAGAGAGCAAAAGCAAGTCATCAAGTTCAGCCTTTGCCACATGAAATGTCTATTCATTCTTATTTCCTGGAGGGTAGGATAGTGTGCTAGTTAAAAGTATGCCCTCTAAATTCAGCATGTGTGGGTTCAAATCCCAATCCTCCCACTTCTTGTGTAACTTTGGGCAAATCATTCACCTTCCTTGAGCCTTAGTTTCCTCTTCTATAAAAGTAATACCTACCACCCAGGGTGTGGGGAGATTAAATGCAGAGTTATTTCAGCACCAAACACAAGGGGCATATTCAACAGATACATTATTGTTAAAATACCATTTATTCAATGCTATTTATTGCAGAAAATTAGAGGACCTACAATTATTAAGCACTGACAAGGTGCTAAGCTCTTTTACATCTTTTTTTTTCTTCACTTAATTCTCCCGGCAACCAGTGGATGGGTGTTATTATCTTAATTGCACAGATGACAAACCATGGCTGAGAGTTGGCATGACTTTGCCCAAGGCCACACAGCTCTTTCAAAATAACTCCACCATAATTCTGAGGATTTGCCAGAACTGAGAACAATGGCAATTTTTACACATCCATTTTTGAACATTCAGTTTATACTGATATAAAAAAGGAAATGGTGATACTCTCCGATGTTGGCAAAGGATCAGGAAATATTGCCTGTTTCATCACTGCTTGACCCTCAGGGCAGTTGGTGGGGGCCAGAGGCTGCTTTGACATGAAGACTGGAGAGATCTGGCCTTGAACCTCGACTCCCCCAAATGCAGACCACGTGACCTTTGCAAAGCAGGTGTCATCTCTAGGCCTCTGTTGCCTCATCTGTAGATATGAGATAATTACACCTCTTTATGGGCTTGTGAGCATTTAAGGCTAGGGGCCCAGCACAGAGATCTTCCTCTTGAAGCCTCATGATGGGAACACTCCATTCCTTGGTTCACAAGCTCCCCAAACTTCTCCAAGCTGTCCTGATTGGAAACAAAATCTTTTCCATCTATAAAGGACCTAGAGACTAGTTTATAAATTGTGGCTCAATTTTTTTCTGCAGTGAGGAAAAAGGAAGCAGACCGCCTATTGTTTTAATAATCAGGCTCAATCGCACTGCAAGTGTCCCTGAGAAGGCTCACATTGGAATGCCTCCAGGAATCAAAATCCTTCTCTGTGGATTAAGGACTAAGAGTCATGATGATTTTATTATAACTACCATTAAATTTGGCGAGCATATGTTTTCTTATCAGAAGACTATTAACCACTTGGAATTCTCCTATTATATGCCTGGAGGTGGAAAAAAGCTAATCTGAGACTTCTGGAAAGCACAGGTTTTGGGGGCTCTTGTAATCCAAGACATTCAGGTACATTGTTCCAATTCTGCTTGAAAGGACACGGGTGTGTCAGAATATTCTCTCTTTAACTGTGCATGTCCAAGGGCCTCCAGCTCTTCCTGATCTCAGCCTTCAGCAGCTGAAGAAATATCAGGTTTTGAGGAAATTGTTGGATTCCTAAAAGGTGAGTGGCTGAATGTGGGGTGCTGGGGAGTAGGAGGGATGGAAAGGGTGCCTCCCTGAATACAGATTGTTCTGGCAGCTGACATTCTAACTAATCTCTGCAGGAATCAACCATCTGGCATCCTTCAAGACTTTCTTCAAGAGATTTGTGGCTTTGACTTGGGTATCAAGAGACTTCCTTTCCTACCAGGAGAGGCAAGGAAGCTACGTTTGCTCAGCAGTAAGCACTTTTATCTCCACTGGCCACCCAGTGCATCTGCACTGGAGGTGGGTGAGAAAGTAGAGATGGGCTGGAAGGGTAAGCGGAGGTCAGATGATGAATGCTGGCTGAGAGGTTTGGATTTCATCTTAGGGCCTGTAAAGAGCCTAAATGGGTTTTCAGTGAGAGCATGGAATATCCAGACTGTGCTTTGGGAAGGTCACTTGGCAGCTGGGTTAGGCCTGATATTCATTTTCAGAACATCAGAACACTCCTGATAGCCACCTCATGATAAATCCATCCAGAGGGTCACCTCTGATAGAGTCTCACGATGGGAAATTACTTTCAATTTAATTACACTGAAGAGTGTTAACTCTGCAGCTGGACAGACTCAGGTTTGAACCCTGGCTCTGCTTCTCCTTGGCTGTGTGGCCTTGAGTAAATCACTAAACCTCTCCAGTCTCATTTTCTCATCTGTGGAATGAACATAATACAAATCTACCTTGCAGAGTTGCTTTGAGAATTGGAGAAAAAGTATGCAAAGCACCAGGAACAGGGACCTGCTGTAACTACTGCTATGATTATTTTAGTATCATTCTTATCATTATTCCAGGTTTTCTTTTCACATTTCCAAAACTGCTGTCTTGAGTCTGCAACCTAGGTGGGGCTTTCAACTGGAAGGAGGTAGGAGGAGGTGAAGATTCAGAGAGGCTGGGCATCCAATCCTGGCTCCAAGACTAGCTTCATGCTCAGAAGTGCCCCATGGCTGGTCTAATGCTCTGCTGTCACTGCCTTAAAATTCTTAATAACTTTAAAACAAGGAGCTTTCCCTCTTCGTTTTCCACTGGGACTCACAAATAGCTTGTCCTGCCTTCCCAGCTGAGTACCCTTGGGCATGTTCCATAACCTTTCTGAGCTTTGGTTTCTTCATCTGTAGAACGGGGCTATTAATTAGCTACCCCAAAGGGAGGAACTCAGGCTTTGGGGCCAGGCCCAGCTGTGAATCCAGCTCTGCCACTTGTTACCATGGACTGTGAGCAAGTCATTTCCTTCCCCATCTGAGTTTACTCAGGCGGATGCTGGTGATATTGTCACCTATTTCAGAGTTGTGGGTAGGGTTTATGTCAGATAAAAAATGTAAACCACTTAACCCTGAGCCCAACACATAATGGGCACATATATTTTTGAGGAATAAATTATGTGGTTTTCTCTTCTCCAATTAAAAACAATTACGCAAGGGCACAATTTAAAAAGAAACAAAACACAAACTCTCTGAACTCAATTTACAAACGTAAGGAATTTTCTCTTCCTTTATTACTGACCCCTTTCCATTTACTGTATTTTATTTTCACAAGAGCATTTTACTACCTTTTAATTCCTACTGAAAAGAGCTGTCTTTATTAACTGCAAAAGAGAAGGCGGGAGGGGCAAACATGCCCAGGCGTTAAGCCTCAAGGCAGTCCCTCCCCTGGGTGCTCGGTCCCTGCCCTCCCTGGGCTGGGAGGTCAGGACTCCAACTGGGATCCTAACAGAGGCTGGGTCTGAATCAAGGTGGCCCCAAATTCTCACCCTTTCCTTAAAGAGGCACTTTGGGAAGTTTATTGGAGTAGCACTTGAGATGACCATAGAAAGTGTCTGTGCTTACCTAGTATATAGTAAACTGTGTCTCTGTGTGGTGCCATGAGGTGGGCTTAGTCACCCCTCGCTCCTCCTGTGGCTGTTCTTCCTTGAACCGGAGGGAACGTTCCCTTCAGGGGTCACGGAGGGGAGGACAGTGCTCAGCTTGTGGGGCCACATCTCCCGACCTGACCACCGTAGAGTCCTGGGGCTCCAAGTAGTGAGAGAGGTGGGGAGCTCCCTCAGGACCCTCTCCTGAGCTTTATTCCTTCCTCCCCGGCTGTGCTCTGTGCCTCCCACACATTGATGATTTTCGGTTCATCATATAAATAAAATTGATGCAGACTTCGAGTCAGTCTAGGT